CAATGATTTTTTGCCAAATTTTTGCCAATTTTCTCTGAATTGAAACAATTTCTGATAAAATATTGTTGTATCTTTTAGAAAAGTAACGAGAGAAACGGGTTCTATCAGCTTTTTTTTTTCCTGAAAAAGGTCATCCTTGAGGCGGTGATTTCGGGCTGTTAGTGTGTGAAAAGAAAAGGAAGAAAAAAGGACAAATTTCTCCGGAAAACTAGGAAAACCGAATATTTGTCTCTCCTTTTGATCACATTTTTCTTTTTTGGAAAACCGACCGCACCCTTCAATTCCCCCCTTCAATTGAATACTATTGATTGGATTTTGAAATCAATATTCTCGATATTCCTATGGATTATCGGTCAAGAAGTCGTCCTCCTCCTAGAGAATATTCACCAAGAAATGAAAGAGATGACTATTTTCAACCAACTTTTGACAGAAATCATCGATCACGGAGTTTAGATTATAGAAGAGATTGGAGTGATGAAGAAGATTTTGAAAGGGAAAGAGAAAGAGAAAGAGAACGAGAAAGATTTCGAGCAAGTCAACCACATTTGGGAAGAGGTGGATTTGAATCTGGAAGAGAAAGGGAAATCGATAGTCCGAGAAGAGAAAGGGATTATTTTCAGACGATGAAGAGAGGAGGTGAAGGGAGGAGGGAGATCGCAAGGAGTCAAGAATGGTATCCATCACCGAGAGGGGAAAGAGTTGGAGAAAGATGGCAACCACCGAGTCCAAACGAGTTGAGAAACAAGTGGAGAGGTGGGCAGGGAAGGGATGGACGGGAGGGAAGGGATGGAAGGGAGGGAAGAGTTGAAGGAAGAGCTGAGTATGGCCAACAAAGGCAATTGCCTAGACATCCCGCGAATTTGTCCCCCGTTTCACAGAGTTCTGCACGTCCATTGAAGATTCAAACAGCTCGCCAACAGAAAGGATTCTTTGGACAACGAAGAGAGCAAGCGGATGAGAGCCCGAGATCGATTGGATACCCGCCAAGGGACAGTTACAGGTGGGTGAACGAGTGAATTCTTTCTGACAAGTAGAATTGGTTTAGAGGCTTGCCGTATCAAAAGTTTAAAGAGATTTGGATTTTAACAAGCTCGTAAACCCATTAATTCCTTAAAACGAAAAGAATTGAATAGTAGAAGCGAAAAGTTTGCGCAAGTCATAAGATTGACCGATTTGGTAAGGCCAAACCGAATTTCACCTTCATTTTCTCAACCATCTTTTTGGCTGATTGTTCTGAAATTTTGCTTAATAGAAATAGAATAGAAATTGGCTTGCTTGTAGACAAAATTGCAGAGCAATCGGTCAAAAAAAAGACGGCTGAGAAAACGAAGATGGAATTAGATTCAGCTTGGAATTTCCCTATGTCTAGTAAGGTCTCGGTAAGCTATGCCAATGGAGAAGATCTGTATTTTGACCTTTTAGTTGTAAGGTTAACCGCACTGTGGCCAACTAGATGTCACGTTTTATCAATTAGATTTAAAGTGTGCTCCTCTTGAGTAATGCGTTTTCTAAAATGCACCTATTTGAGAAAACTATCGTAGTCAAATCGTTAGTTTACACATCCAATCAGCCCGATTTTTGTATCATTTACTAAGCCTTGTAATTCCTCATCGAATGATACAAAAATCGAGCTCATTCAATGTAAACTAACGGTTTGACTACGGTAGTTTACTCAAATAGGTTCATTACTCGAAAGGGACACACTTTGATTAGGATAGATGATAGCTTTCTCATAGTTGACTATTGTAGAATGATCTCAAAGGTACTTCTCACAGAAAATCTCAAAAGAGAATCTCATCTATGAATTCTTTCGATTTCTAGATCATTTTTGAAATCAAATATTGATCTTCTCACATTCCAGAGAAGCACCCCGTGATCCGCGTTATCGTTACGATGGCCGTGAACTTCAGCCAGTCACCGGTCCTCGAGATTTCATCGGAGGTGCCCAATCCGGCGGTGGCTATTCCCGTTCCTATCAATCCTACCATCAATCTCATCAATCCGGTGGTGGCGGCCTCTCATCATCTGGTAGACGGGCTCTCACTGTACAACCCGGGCAACAAGCTCAACAAGCTCAATCCTGGAAATATCAAGGGAACACAGGCCCTCGTCAATATCATCGTGTCCATTGTGGTTGCTTCTCTTTCACATGGCCTCCATGGTCTGTTCAACCTTCCCCTCCGCCACAACCCAGATACCCAAATATCCCGTGAATTCTTTCAATGACAATTCATTTTCTCAGGATTCTTTTTGTTAACTTTCTTTAGTTTTCTCTCTGATTTTCAAATCTCTGAAAATACTGCCATATTTTCACCTCATTTTTTCTGATTTTTTTTTTGTTTTGTAACTTTTTGTTTTGTAAATAAAATGAGGATAAACTTTCTGAGAAGAACATTTTATTTTTATTTATTTTATAAATAAATTTATTTAAGAACAAAACAGACAAGTTTCGAATATTTTGGTAAGTTGATTTGAAATTTTTACAAAAAAAACTATATTTCTTGAATAATAAAAACTTTTTTAGGATATCAATGACTACAATTTCGAGGATGCTTATGAAATGGGATCCATTGGGAATGATAAACACACGATGATGGAATTCGCATTGATGTATTATCGAAATGCGAAAGGTGGAGACAGTCAAGAAAGAGGAAGAAGTGAGTGCAAAATGGGGTTACTCTGTAGCTGAAGATGTGAAGATTTTCAAGGACTTTCAAGGACTTTGAAAGACTTTGAAAGACTTTCAAAGACTTTCAGGGACTTTCAAGGGCACTGTAGATATAAATGCAGAATAGAAACGTTTTTCGTCTATCAATAAACTGTCGTGATTAAGGAATCAGTTAATTAACTTTATTCAAATCCTTTATTCCTTTGTACTTACTAGGGAAATCAACTTTAAACAATTCGTAGACTGATTAAGATGATTTTTAGTGTTTTAGCTAACAAAAAAACAAAAATTGACCGCATGCCGAGTCGAACCAGAGTCAAACCGAGCCGAGCGATGGCACACTATCCACTACACTACCGGGTCTCTTTAACTGGGGGAAGGGAAGGGCTATATGAGCTTCTTCTTCCTATATTAGCCCAAAACTTTTTTGCAAAATAAATTGCGATACAGGGCACCGTTTTTGAAACTAAAATCAAATTTTGAATCAACTTTTAAAACTCTTTCAGTCTAATTATCAAATCTATCAATCTATTAAAACTCTATAAGCTAGAGCCGACTCAAAAAAACCGACATTGGCGCCATTTCCTAGCTAGGAATGTAAAAAGATTTTCTCTGACATAGTAAAACTTAACGCCACGGGAAAAAAAAATGACAGTTTAAATGCATTAGAATTTAGTGTGTTCCCATCTAGAGCACGAGAAAGACCAACTTAGAGTGAGAATTGGATTTTTGCAGAGGTTGAAATCTTGATGTAAATCAAAGAATATTCTCCTAAAAGCTTTCCTTGCTTGACAGACTGAAGGAAAGCTTTGTTTGATTAAGATTTCTTAAATTCTAAAACAATGAATCGGTTTCCGATGGTTTCCTCATTCGCGATTCCCCCATTTTTTTTTCATTATCCAGTTCTTTTTCCCCGCAATGCATTCATTTCCCCGTAAAATCTCACTTCAATTTCAATGGAATGGTTGAATGGATTTGAGCCACACCCTCTCTTTCTCCTTTTCTCTAAAAATCTCTTGATTTTTCTCTCCTTTTTCAGTTTTTCCCTTTTTGAACTGACAAGCAAATGACCCGATTTTAGAAGAAAGAGATTGAGAAAAGAAGAGAAATGAAAAAAAAAGGAAAAATTGGGCCAAACAATCTATTAGATCAAAAACTTTTTGATGATCAATCTATAAAAAATGAGAAATTAATTGACCTTGTTGAACTAATTTCGGGAGAATAATAGGCATTGTTTTAAAAGAGAAATTTTTTTTAGGAAATTTTAAAGAATGGACTTGGAGAGATGTGGCTGATAAAGTGAAATGGACGGATCGACAAATACAACAATCGTTGATTAGAATCGAGAATTATGAAGCGAACAAGTTAGCGATGGAGGCATTCGGATGTGAGTTCGGGAAAAGGGTTTAGTGAAAAAGGGAAGAGTTAAGAGTTGTTAAGGGTTTTTTTTTTTGGTTTTCAAAGGGAAGTTTATGAAAAGAAGATTTGAGGCTGGTAAAAGCTGAAGACAATTAGTGGGAATTAGCAGAGAAAGAGGAAATTTGGACCATTCTTTTGTAGCTTCTTAAATCTATAAACGAAATTCAATGGTGCTGGTTAGATTTCTCTTATCGTTAGTTTCAAAGGCTTACAATCGATATACTTACCGTAAATCCTGTAATAGTACCCCACCCCCATAATGACGGTGCGGAGTGTTGCGTAGTCTAGCTTTGAACGAGTTTTTCTCGACACTGGTTTATGCTACAATGTCCGTTTAGATTTCAAAAAATAGCCCTGAATTTCAGCTTTCATTTAATACTTAAACGAACACTGTAGCATAAATGGGTGGCGAGAAAAATGCATTTAAAGTTAGACTACGCGATGCTCCGACCGTCATTATCGGGAGGAGGGGCTACTATTAGAGGATTTACGGTATGCTTTTCTTAGTTTAGCTTAATCTTTATCTACTATAATTCAATTTAGAACTATAATTTAAACATACCGTAAATACTGTAATAGTACCCCACCCCCATAATGACGGTGCGGAGTGTTGCGTAGTCTAGCTTTGAACGAGTTTTTCTCGACACTGGTTTATGCTACAATGCTCGCTTAGGTATCAAAAAATAGCTGAAATTCAGGGCTATTTTTTGATACCAAAGACGCATTTGTTGAAAGTACGGGCGCTTTGAAAAAAAATGAAATACTAAAAATCTTTTGCGACTACGAGACTGTACGAGGGCGTTGGGGCATTATTACAGTATTTACGGTATTAATAAGTAGGTTATAGATTCTTCAAAAAATATAGATTCTTTGATTTATCTTTATCAAATATCTAGGTATTATGCGTTATATGGGCGATATTGAATTGAAGAAAGGGGAAACGAAAACCGATTGTGTTTATCGACTTTTGTTAATTTGTCAGAAACATGAGGCAATGAAAGATGAAGTTTATTGTCAAGTGATACGACAAACGACAAGCAATAGGAGTAACAGGTAAAGTTTTCCCATTGTACACGATTTTAAATCATTCTCCTTTTTCAGACCAGATTCTCTGACCCTCGGTTGGCGTCTTTTCATCGTTCTAACTGCTTATTTCACTTGTTCTGATGGAATGTGGCCATATCTTACAAAATATATAATGGATACAGCAAATGATAGCAGAAGAGCATGTCATGGAACGGCACAAATATGTTTACAGAATTTGTTAAAAACGAAGAAATATGGAGGAAGAAAATTTCTGTTATCTGGTGCTGAATTAGAACAAATTACGATGGTTTGTGCAGAGGTTTTGGAAAAGAGAAATGAAAGGAATTTAGTACGGTAATAGTCTTAAACGGCAGCAATATTTGTTACCTGGAGGAAATGCGAAATTGGTGAACACGAGGATTGTCACTGTTATTGAAGAGGTTCACTTCACTTTTATCACTTTTGGAAAATGATTTTTTTTAGGTTTTGCAAGAGTTATGTAATGATTTAAACATTCGTTCTCCTGCTGAACAACAAGAATTCTGTTTGTGTGTGGCGGTGAAGAATGGTTGGTGGAAAGATCTTCAAGGACAAGAGACAGAGAAACAAGAAAAGTTTAGAACCGAATTTGATCTTTACGGCAAATGATGAGTATGTGCTGGATATTTGCACCGAAATGGAACATAAAAATAAGAGGTAAAGAAACAAGGAAAAAAGTGATAAGAACCCATTGTCGTCAAACCGTTCAACAGTCACTTTGGCGCAGTCGGGAGACCTCTTCACTACAGTCCACACGATCCTGGTTCGACTCCCGGCTGTGTCATGACTTTTGCATTTTTGAAAAATGAGATGCAAATCTAGATAGAATTCTAAGGCTAATGAATAACAAAGTTCAAAATCATGTAAATCGGTTGATAGAGAGCTTGAACTACAGACAGACAGACAGACGGATGGACAAGCATTTCTTGTTTGTCAGATAGACGGATGGACAAACATTTCCTTATAGAAATGTCTGATAATAGATCGACTGTTTGTAGAGGAATTAGACCAGATTAATCGATTGCAAAAATAACTAGAATATAGCTGATAGCTGAATTGAAAGCTTGACTCTCATTTAACAAATTTCAGCTTTGATTTCCTTCTTCGAAGGGCTGTTTGGATCTATCCACTACGTTTAGACAACATGATGTACATTGATGTGATGTTCAATCAGGTAAAATTAAGCGAATTAACATTTCTAACAATTGTACACTAACCAGAGGCTTTAACATATAAAAAAAACGGAATTCAGTTACTGGGCGATTACCTTGACGGCCTTTTCTGTTCCCATATGCCATCGGGTCAATTGAGTGCCACTTCAATGGATGATGTCGCTAAAATGGGAGCTTATCTATATCTCTCATCTCAACAAAAGGGACAATCACATATCAATCCGTTTGTTTTTTTTTCGAGAATTTAAAGAATTAAGTGAAATAATTTCTAGAAAAAACGTCTATTCTCTTGTTCCATCAACGGTTATCGATCGATCCGTTGGTCCAGATCAATGGGCAAGTCGAGTGCAATATAAAATGTCAAATATTGATTCAATGATTGATCAAACGACAGCAAGAATGCATTTTCTACGTAAGCTTTTGCGAAATCTATCAAAAAATAAGAAGATTTTTTAGAAATTTTGGATAAATGGCCATTATTTGGAGCGTCAACGTTTAGAGTGATTCGATCGAATCGTGCTGAGACAAAAGATGAGGTTTGAAATGGCAAAATGATAAACGAACAATTGCCAATCACTTATAATTAGATATTAGATATACAGGGTGCGTCATAATTATTGCAACAAGATACTCAAGGCATTGCACACCAAGAAGTTTCACTGGAAGAAGATTTTTAAACAGAAATACCTTTATTTAACAGTAACAAATAAGGAAACCAAGAGATCATTCGATATGATCGCCTTTTGCCTTGATAACAGCCCGTTCGGATATGCCTAATCGGTTCGGATATGTCTCCACTGCGGCCCGAATGTCATCTTGAGGAGTCGCCTTCCATCCTTTGGTCAAAGACTTCTTCAAAGAATCCAAAGCAGACATTAGCCTCTAAGATTGCCCAAATGAAAAAGTCCATCACATTGAGATCCGGTGAGTTTGGAGGCCATTCATCCTTGGTGATCACTGAGGGAAAGTTGGCCACACACCAGTCCTGAACCGTCTTCTTCGTGTGAGCGGGAGCTCCATCTTGCATGAAGGTCCAATTTTGATTTTTATTGGCTTTACACGCCCATGACATCACATTCTTGACATCACAAACGATCTTTGAACTCTTGTTGCAATAATTATGACGCACCCTGTATCTATAATATCTATAGAAATTGATGTACAATATCTCAATCACAGTTCATTCTCTCGAACTATAAATAACTATATAATTATCTAGATATTAGATATTTCTATAATAACTATAAAAATTGATGTACAAATATCTCAATCACAGTTCATTCTCTCGATTCAACGCCGCGGTGTGCAATTGTTGCGTCCACATGTCAATTCCGTGTTTGAAGAATGGCCTTTTTCACAAGTAACTTAGAAATTATTCAAATAAACTCTAGTTTTTAATCAAATGTTCATTTTATTAAGTAAATTTTTAAGAGATTAAATCAAAAATGAAAATCCTAGGTCTTGTCTACGAATAAATACGAGAAAGATCGTGAAACGATGCTTGATTTGAAGTTAGGCACGTTGAAAGAGCACAAGAATATCACTCTACAAACGAATCAGGTAATGCAAATGATAATTAATAAGGTAAAATATAGTTTTTCTAATATTTACTCATCTCAATCTTTTGAACGAGTAGTTCAAAAGCTTTTCTCAGCTTTCTCAGCTTTCTCAGCTTTCTCAGCTTTCTCAGCTTCTCAGCTTCTCAGCAAAGCTTTTTCTCAGTTTATCGGTCCTTCTGCTGTTTGTCTCCCCTAATATCTATTTTTTCGCTGTTTTTTCAAATGCAAATTAGGCATTTTTCCACTAGTAACGTTCAAAAATTTCGCGTCAATCGGTCGGTTCTCTAAAATTTTATTAAGAACATTAAGAAGCACGGGCACCGTAGGCGACACCCGTGATAGCCCGTGATCTGCGTCACATCGTATTTTTTTTTGATTAACCCATTGCAAGTGCTCTGAGAAACAACGCGCCACCCGCGGACCATATTCTTACATCTTGGGGAACGTAAGCGGTACAATTAGAGTATGTTCCCTTCAAGTGCTGCGTTTTCTAAAAAGTGCGCATAAAAAAAGGCGCCCATACTTTCAAAAAATGCGCGCTTAGGTATCAAAAAATAGCTGAAATTCAGGGCTATTTTTTGATACCTAAGCGGACATTGTAGCATAAACCAGTGTCGAGAAAAACTCGTTCAAAGCTAGACTACGCAACACTCCGCACCGTCATTATGGGGGTGGGGTACTACTACAGTATTTACGGTATGTTTAAATTATAGTTCTAAATTGAATTATAGTATATAAGGGTTAAGCTAAACTAAGAAAAGCATATCGTAATACCTTTAATAGTAGCCCCTCCCCCCGATAATTCCGGTCGGAGCATCGCGTAGTCTAACTTTACAGGCATTTTTCTCGGCACCCATTTATGCTACAGTGTTCGTTTAAGTATTAAATGAAAGCTGAAATTCAGGGCTATTTTTTGATATCTAAGCGGACATTGTAGCATAAACCAGTGTCGAGAAAAACTCGTTCAAAGCTAGACTACGCAACGCTCGGCACCGTCATTATGGGGGTGGGGTCAAATTACAGTATTTACGGTATATAAATTTGCGCAAATCCACATTTGACTAACAAAAAACAAAAATGAAAATCATTTTTTAAATTGGCGTTAAATAGATGCAGTTTAGAATGAGCATTAGAAAATTTTGAATGCAAATTTACTCAAGTAATTGTTTACTTGAGAGGAAAATACTCTAGATACAATACAAGCCGTACAAGCCGTACAAGCCGTACAAGCCGTACAAGCTATACAAACGGATAAATCCCCAATTTCCCATTAGAATTCTTCATTTTTTTTCCCTGATACTAGGGGAGACAAACAGCAGAAGCATCAATTTTATCGAATGTTTTCTCTCTTTTGTTTTTTAATTTTATCTAATAAATTTGATCTCTTTTCTCTTTTCTCTCTCCGCTTTGAATAGCTCAATCAGAAATTTCTTTTAAAACACTATTAAAAAAAGGAATAGAGTTTTAAAACTTTAAAAATCTAACTTAATTAAGACAAATTGGATTGAAAACGATTTTTCTTTAGGCTGTTGACATCATTCGTCTTCTTGGTCAATATATTTATGTTGATTCGCAGAAACGCGCGAGCTCGTAAAGAAGAAAGCTCGTAAAGCTCGTAAAGCTCGTAAAAAGCTCTTCTTTTTCTATCAAATGCTTATTTTTCATATGTTTTTTTTGTACAAAACTCTAATTTTTCTAATATTTATTGATAAATTTATGACTGTAATTGTTGGCTATCACAGTGTAAAGTCAGGAAAAGAGAGAAGAACCCGTTTAAGAAATTTTAGAAATAAGAAGTAAAAGATATAGTAAAAGGAGTATTTTATACAAAAGAAAATCTCTTATCATGTTAAATTACAAAAATTCAATACTATTGGATTGTCCAGTTATGAACTTTCAAAAGCTTTTTATATCAAAATGTAGAGGAGATCTTCAGCTTTCGAATAATATATCTTTTTCTTGATTTCGGTACCTTGAGAAATTTACAAAATAGTAAAAACGCGCATTCATAACTGGACAACTCAATATTCTAGAAATAAGAAGTAAAAGAAAGGATTAGTAAGAAGTAAAAGATATACAGTCGGCAAAGAAAGTCTTTCACCATTGTCTCTCAGAGACTTAAAACAAAAAATTTTTCCGTACAAACGGAGATACAGGGTGCGTCATAATTATTGCAACAAGATACTCAAGGCATTGCACACCAAGAAGTTTCACTGGAAGAAGATTTTTAAACAACCGTTACTATGGTATAGACGCATTAAATGTCGTCTATACCATAGTAAACAACAGAATAAAACAATGGTGCAAGACGTCTATACCATAGTAAACAATAGAATACAACAATGGTGCAAGACGTCTATACTATAGTAAACAATAGAATACAACAATGGTGCAAGACTTTTTTTTGCTTTCTAAATCGGCTGTCTCTGATAAAACTTTGTTTTACGTAAAAAGGAGTCGCTTTTAATAAAAATGGCTAATATGTCCGGAAACTAGACAAAAATAGTAGAATTAATTGTGAAAAAGTTTCCTCTGAAACGATTATTTTTACGGAAAATTTTTTGTTTTAAGTCTTTGAGAGACAATCGTGCTTTTTTTTTGCCTACTGTAGTAAAAGGAGTATTTTATACAAAAGAAAATCTCTTATCATCTTAAATTACAAAAATTCAATACTAGATTTTTCTTATGTAAAAGAATTCGATTTGAACAAGTTTTTTTGGTGATTTTGAGCCAAGTAAAGGGTAAAAAATGACGAAAATACAGAAATCTTTGGCTATAAAGCTACAAATCTACAAATCTACAAATAAAATTTATTGAACAAATGCCTAATGATTATCTTCATCGTTTACCCTTAACATTTGCACATCTCTCACGCAAAAAATCGCTCGACAAGTTGGACAATCCGCTTGCCCATTTAGCCAAAATTCGGGATGGGATTGATCCTGGAAAAATAGGGAAAATAGGGAATATGAAATTGATCATAGAATCTTGTAAAATATAAATTTTATCGATTTTATTACCTGTTTTCCTGCAAAAACTCTCCCTAGACATGAAACGCACCACATTGGACGACAAAAACATTGACGACACTGGAAATGTGAATCTGAGTAAGCTATTAGGTAAATGCATAAGAAATGCGGTTTTCAACCCTTTCATAAATTCTCCAACGATAGAAAGCTGATATCGATGAATGTTATAAACTATTTGAAAGTTGTAAATCTCCTCTACAAAATAGGCTAAAGCGTGTTTCAATTGATCGAACGATTGAAGAAATTTCGAGGGCGAAATGCGAGTGACCAAGAAAGGAATCGAGTCACTTTAGGAACAAGTTTAGTGTCTTAGGTCAAACAACTAGAGAAACTAGCTTTTCAAGGTGATTAGCTTTGGGTAACAACTAGGTTTTCCGATCAATGATCTTAAGTCAAACAACTAGGGCAATTATTAAGTAAATGCATAAGAAATGCGGATTTCAACATTTTCATCAATTTCCAACGATAGAAAGCTGATATCGATGAATGTTATAAACTATTTGAAAGTTGTAAATCTCCTCTACAAAATAGGCTAAAGCGTGTTTCAATTGATCAAACGATTGAAGAAATTTCGAGGGCGAAATGCGAGTGACCAAGAAAGAATCGAGTCACTTTAGGGACAAGTTTAGTGTTGTCAAAATAGAGTTAGCTTCCCAAAATTGAAGGATTTAAAAAAAAAAAGGATAACGATATATCAATTGATTAAAAAAGTCTAACGGAAATGCATTTACAGAAATTTAGATAGAGCGTAAGTTCAAAATCGTGCGCAATCGTAAGCAAAGAATGAAGCGCTCGTTTTGTAAGCAAGCGTTTTGTATCTAACCATCTAGTATTGTATCTAATCATCTAGTTTTGTATCTAATCATCTAGTTTTTTTCTTGATCTAATCATCTATTAGGTAAATGCATAAGAAATGCGGTTTTCAACATTTCCATCAATTCTCCAACGATAGAAATCTGATGTTATAAACTAGAATCGATGAATGTTATAAGCTATTTGAAAGCTGTAAATCTCCTCTACAAAATAGGCTAAAACGTGTTTCAGTTGATCGAACGATTGAAGAAATTTCGAGGACGAAATGCGAGTGACCAAAAAAGGGCTCTTTTTGAAAACCCCACTTTCACAAGAGTTCGCTTTTGACTATATAGTGGAAAATGACCTATATAGTGGACTAAAATCCTCATTCAAAATGCTCTAGATTGATTTCCCGATTTTCAATAGCATTTTACCAGAGCACAGAGCTGGATCAGCTGACTTTCAACTGGCCTAGCATCCTTTATCGACTCAAGAAAACAAATTCGATTAGAGTTTTTACTGTAAACCTGTTGCCTTCCTTGTTGCTGACATCCTTGATTGATCTTGACATTCGCTTGTGTAGCATAACATCCAATACATGACTCTAGCTGAAAAGAGAAATGAAAAATTGAGATTTTTTTTGCATAAAACGTACAGAATTAGTGTCTGGATATGGATAGGTTCCATTCTCATTCACATTCTCTTGAAACACTTCCACGAATCGTTCATTCGGTGAAACGTGGAAAATGATTTCGCGAGCGATTTCAATTCTAGACGTCAATTTGTCTTGAAGATCTCGAAAATCAGTTCCTTTAATTCTAAAAGTTTCAATTTTTAAAGATTTTTAAGATTTTTAAAGCCTTTTCAAGCTTTTAAAGATTTTTAAAGCTTTTTAAAGCTTTTAAGTCTTTTAAAGCTTTCTTTTCTTTTCTTTTACCTAAAGAAGAAATGAGGAATTGATCGATTGAGAATATTTGCTCGAATTGAAACATATTGAACCTCTTCACCTGTTTCATTTAACTGAAAAAAGGCTGTTCTAAATGAAATTTTTCAAAAATTACCGCAAATTGTTGTGCATTAACAGCTTCAAATTGAATATCACTAATGTTAACGATAATGAAATTGTATCGATTGAAATTCATGACCCATGAATCAGAGATGATGATACGAGAAGAATCTAAAGATCTAAGAATTACACTAATGGACAATGAAATATGATATTTGAAAAAACGATCGTCACTTTCGCGCGTCTGTAACTCCATTGTCTTTACCGTATTTCTAAATATTAATATTACCATTGTGTAGCCCTTGAAAAGAGCTTTCAGAAATGGTATAACACTAATAGTTTAAACTTAAAGACAATGGAGTTACAGACGCGCGAAAGTGACGATTGACAAAGAAGGACGTACAGTACTGGACAATGAAATATGATATATGAAAAACGATCGTCACTTTCGCGCGTCTGTAACTCTCTTGTCTTTGAGTTTAAACAATTAGTGTTATACATTTCCTGAAAGCTCTTTTCAAGGGCTACACAATGGTAATATTAATATTTAGAAATACGGTAAAGACAAGGGAGTTACAGACGCGCGAAAGTGATGTTCTTTTTTTAAATATGATATTTCATTGTCCAGTACTGTATCTTGGTTACGATAAGCAAACCTACAGGCCAAAGAGACGGAGAAATTAAAGAAATTGCGGAATTCGGTGGAGAGTTGTGCACGAATTCGAGTTAAATCTTCCGAATATAATTTTAAGTATTTCATTGGTTTTAAATGAGTAAATTTTGTGTTATGATGAAAGAAGAAATAGGTTAAAGAACCTGAAATTTCATTTGAATTTCATCGAATTCTTTTTTAAACTAACCAATCAGGATCAAAATGGAGATATTTGTGAAATAATGAAGTTTTGTCGATGGGATTCTCGAGGAAACAGTCGGCAAATCACTGTAGAAAAAGGTGATCAGTGAGTAGACTGAAAACAAATCGAAATTGTATTTCATAACAGCTCAGGGAAATCAAAAACCTATTCCCCAGCGGTTTGCCAGATCGCAAGCGCTACAGCACAAAGAACACCTTGCTAGTAGATAGATTTTTCTTGTTTCTGCCTTTAAATAAAGCTGGAAATTTGTATCTAGGGGTTTTCAGGGTCGGTGAATCGATTGGTGCTTTTCATTTGATTGAGATTTTCAAGTTTTCTTTTAGTTTTAGGCTCAAATAAAGTAATTTGGTTGGAAATCGCTTATTTGCCGTATTTTCTCTAATAGTAGTGCACCCCGCCAAGTCGAGTTGATGACTATTTGACGGTTTCCAAGCTTTTGCAGAAGCTCAACACTCAAATCCCCCACTAGATCTCATCGTCAACTACATTTTCCGACCCCACATCGATAGGTTCTGATAAGCGGTTCTTGAGATTTCGAGGAATTTAGGCAACGCTCAGGGTGCACTACTATTAGAGAGAATACGGGATTCGGCCATCACTGGATTCAGCTAAAACTATTGTAATCTAGAAATTAAATGCCTGAGAAAGAGGTATCACCTCACAGATGTTACTGTAATCTGCTAAAGCTGCTTGCTCTATTCTCTTTCTCTCTAATAGTAGTGCCGAGCCGAGTTGGTGACTATTTTACAGTTTCTAAGTTTTCCCGAAAGCTCAACACTCAAATCCCCCACAAAATCTCATCGTCAGCACCCCAGCGAGCCGAGTTGGTGACTATTTTACGGTTTCCAAGCTTTTGCAGAAGCTCAAGACTCTAATCACCGTCAAGATCTGATCGTCAGCTACATTTTCCGACCCCACATCGATAGGTTCTGATAAGCGGATCTCGAGAAGCGCAATTTAGGCAACGCGCAGGGTGCACTACTATTAGAGAAAATACGGTAGTCGCTGAAAATTTCTTTTTTTTTCACATTTTCTTACCAAATGGAAGACATCCAAGGATGGTCTGATTGAGCACAATCTTTCGACAATTATATTCCAATGGATCTTTCGATTGATCACCCAAATATGAATGGAAAAGCTCTTCGATTGTTAGATGATCTGTAAAATAGGTTGTTTAATCGGTTGTTTAAACGGGTGTTTAATCGGTTTTTTTTTACTTGAAATGAGGACATCATTCGGCCAAATCACCAAACTCGCCGTCATTCCGAAAGTGATTGTAGACCAGATGAAGATTTCTGGAAAAGAAAAACATTTGTAAATTGAAATTTTACATTAATTATATTGATTATATTGATTTATTGAGCGTTGAGGAAGAAATTTTAACAAAAAACCCAACCATAATCGTCCCTCATCGTTACGAGTTTTGATTGAAACTTTTCCAATTTGATCACTTTCAAATCCAAAAAAGCTAAGCACTCTAAAAGTTAAGAGTTTTAATAATTCTAAACTTCTTTAAAGCTAAGGAAAGCTTAAAGCAAATTGAATACAGAATACAGAACAAACACGCCATAAAAACCGAGTTTCACTGATGGACTATAGGTTAATTGATGAATGTTTGTTATTTTTTTAATGGTAGTATAAAAAGAAATGAAAAGAAATGAAAAAACTTTCTGGAAAGCCTAATAGTCGCTTAAAGCAGCTCTAGTTTATTCCAAAAAAGAATCACAACTTAAAGTTGAGCTCAACCAGGTAAAATCTCTTCAACTTTACTTTTCAAGTTCTCAGCTTTTATAATAATCCAGTAGCCAGTAAAATGAATAAATCAAGAAATCAAACAAGTTTATCTTAAGATTTACCTTTGAATTTGAAAGTTAAAGGAAAAAAAATCGCTTCCATTAATCGTTTCTCAGTCAATAAAATGCAAAATTGTCATTTATTTGTGAATTCTCTTCAAAAAAAAAAAAAATACCGACTGGGGCTACCAGTGGGACGAATACACCACTTTATCATATCTCAAATGTTTTACAATAAAGACACACACAATACTAGGCTATATCTTAACTTAACCCACGTCATGACAGACGGCTCCCTAAAAAAAATCGAAAAAAAATCGCTTCCATTAATCGTTTCTCAGTCAATAAAATGCAAAATTGTCATTTATTTGTGAATTCTCTTCAAAAAGAAACACTACAAAGTAAAGAAATTCAAGAGAAACACATTTAAAGCAAACTATAGGTTAAATTGATGAATGTTTGTTATTTTTTTAATGGTAGTATGAAAAAGAAATGAAAAGAAATGAAAAAGAAATGAAAAGACTTTCTGGAAAGCCTAATATTCCCTTAAAGCAGCTCTAGTTTATTCCAAAAAAGAATCAAAACTTAAAGTTTAGCTGAAAGCTAAGCACTCTAAAAAGTTCAAAGTTTTAGTAATTCTAAACTTCTTTAAAGCTAAGGAAATGAATTTAATACAAAATACAGAACAAACACGCCATAAAAACCTCGTTTCACTGATGGAATTTTTAGCTCAAATTTACAGTAATCAAAGAATCGTAATGAGACCTAAAAAGTCTTAAAAAAAACAAAATATTACCTTTTTTTTTTGATTTTTCGTAGAGAAAAGATAAGGGAAATTGATCGATTTTAATAAAAAAAAATGATTGAGAAAAGAAAATGGAGAGAATTTTGAGAAAATTCTCTTTTAAAAAATATTTGAGAAGAAGAAAGTGGTGTTTCTCTTGAATTTCTTTCCTTTATAGTGTTTCTTTTTGAAGAGTTCCTTCATCGTCATCTTCCCTTCACCACCAAAAAAAGCTATTTAGTTCCCCATTGAGCTTAGGGTTCGGGAGCCGTCTGTCATGACGTGGGTTAAGTTAAGATATAGCCTAGTATTGTGTGTGTCGTTGTATTGTGATTGATATATTTCGTGTATGCGATAAATTCACCACTGGTAGCCCCAGTCGGTATTTTTTTTTTTAAGAGAATCGACAAATAAATGATATTTTGCATTTTATTGACTGAGAAACGATTAATCTAAGCGATTTTTTTCCTTTAACTTTCAAATTGTCATTGATTTTGAGAAAATTCTCTTTAAAAAACATTTGAGAAGAAGAAAGTGGTGTTTCTCTTGAATTTCTTTCCTTTATAGTGTTTCTTTTTGAAGAGAATTCACAAATAAATGACAATTTTGCATTTTATTGACTGAGAAACGATTAATCTAAGCGATTTTTTTCCTTTAACTTTCAAATTCAAAGGTAAATCTTAAGATAAACTTGTTTGATTTCTTGATTTATTCATTTTACTGGCTACTGGATTGTTATAAAAGCTGAGAACTTGAAAAGTAAAGTTGAAGAGATTTTACCTGGTTGAGCTCAACTTTAAGTTGTGATTCTTTTTTGGAATAAACTAGAGCTGCTTTAAGCGACTATTAGGCTTTCCAGAAGGTTTTTTCATTTCTTTTCATTTCTTTTCATACTACCATTTAAAAAATAACAAACATTCATCAATTAACCTATAATTTGCTTTAAATAAATAAGCATTTCTCAGCCTTATCTGTCTTAGTATCTTTTCAGTTATAGAGCTGAAAATGGAAGGATTGTAAGGTATTGGTGACTATTTACTGACCTTGCCCCATCCCCCCTCCACTCAGACCAGTCAATCCCAGCTAAACTTTAAGCATTTCTCAGTTCTGCAAAACTTTAAGCATTTCTTATTATCTGTCTTAGTATCTTTGCAGTTATAGAGCTGAAAATGGAAAGATGGTAAGGTATTGCTGACTATTTGCTGACCTTGCCCCATCCCCTCTCCACTCAGACCAGACAATCCCTTTCTTCCCCTTCTCCCCCTTCTTCCCCTTCTTCCCCTTCTTCCCCTTCTTCCCCTTCTTCCCCTTCTTCCCCTTCTTCCCCTTCTTCCCCTTCTTCCCCTTCTTCCCCCTTCTTCCCCTTCTTCCCCTTCTCCCCTTTCTTTCTCTTCTCACTCATTCATTCTCTCTTTTCCCTAAAAAATAAACGAAATTCTCTTGCACTTCTCGATTTTATTGTCTTTACGAGGTTTACTTTCAATTTCCAATTTCTAATTTTCAATTTCACAATAATGACGGCCTCTTTGTCTGTTTTGTCTCTCTATCTTTTTGCCTATCTGTTTTGTCTCTTGTTTCATTGGATTCTAGAAATTTTAATTGTTTATCACTTGTATTTTGATCGTTTAAATTGAGAATTTAAAAATGTGAAATGAATCTTTGATTCTTTTTTTGAAGAACTTATGTGAAATGACTGCTAAACATTGATACTTTATTTATTAAATCCCTTGTTGTTGTTCTCTTTCTCTAGGTTTTCATTTCTCGAATTTTCCTTTAGACTTTTGATTAAGAGGCAATTTTACAGCAACTTTTCTAGATAAATTCTGAGTTAGAATCTAGTATAGAAAAGCTATGATACTCTTTCTTTTAAACAAGTGAATGGTTATGGTAATTTGGCCACTATTTAAGTCCTAATTCAGGATTTCTCTTGTAAGTTCTATTAGAATTAACTCTTTTGAAGAATCTTTAGATTTTTAGGATAACTTTTGAAGTCAGACTTGATTTGTTGATCTCTTCAAATCTCTAATTCAGTCATTTTTTTCCTAAAATCATAACTTCCGGAGATGAAAATGCACAAAACGTTTTCCTCTCCAAAATAAATGGGAAAGGGAAAAAGCGGAAAAATTGGACGGAACGGCGGCCGATTTTTGAAGGGAAAAAGAGGGAAAATGAAAAGGAAATGGGCAGAGTATCGATTCCGCGAAAAAAATCGAGAAGAAAAGGAGAAAAGATCGAAAAATTGAGAGGGATTGGGGGGAGAGTTCCAACAGAAAGCAAATACACAAAAAGAAAAGGAAAGAAAAGGAAAGGAAAGGAAAGAAAAGGAAAGATTTTTGCAAAACGGGGAATCTCTTCGAGGAGAAATATAGGAAATTGATAGTATCTATCGGGAGATTTTTGTGCTTTTTTAAGTCTACAATCATTTTTCGAAGCTTTTCAAATTCATTTCGATTGTTTCAATGTTATTCACCTTTTTCTTTACAGTCTTCTTTTCATTCTCAGCAATGGGATCTTGATTTTGATCTTCTTTCAGCCTAAGCCTAAGCCTAAAGCGGCTGAGATCCAGAAAATGGGGGTTCAGCCCAAACCCAAATAGACTTAGTGCTAGGCGCTGGCCGCTAGCCTTCGCACTAAGTCCAAGCCTAAGCCTAAGCCTCAGCCTAAGCCTCAGCCTAAGCCTCAGCCTAAGCCTCAGCTTCAGCCTCAGCTTCAACTCATTTAATTCATCTGAATTGATTGAATATTTAAATGAAAATCTCTATTTTTCAATCAAATTCTAGATAAAACTTTATTTAAAGCTTATTTTTTACTCACTAGACTCATTTTTTTTATGTAAAAAAGATCAAAAAGATCAAAAAAGATGACTAGAGAAGCAATTCAGAGTAAGAAAAAGAAAAACCTTTTGAAAATAGATCTTTTATTTGTTAGTGTTCGAGAAAATCTATCCACTTGCTAAAAACTGTAACTTTGAATCATTTTTTTCCAAAAACTACCGTAAAAACTCTAATAGAACGGCCCTCTATAGGAGCGTCGTGTAGACTAAGTTTACTCTCAAACAAACACTCATATCTTGACACCAGTACGTTTGTTTCTACGGAGTTTGGTATCAAATTAAAGTAGAGAGAATGGGTAATTTTTTGAGATATAACACATATTTTTAACGTTAACCAGCGCTAAGAAAAAAATGATTGAAAATCACCGAAAATCGCTTCTTTTTTCCCACTTTTCAATCATTTTTTTCTTAGCGCTGGTTAACGTTAAAAATATGTGTTATATCTCAAAAAATTACCCATTCTCTCTACTTTAATTTGATACCAAAGTGCATAGAAACAAACGTACTGGTGTCAAGATATGAGTGTTTGTTTGAGAGTAAACTTAGACTACACGACGCTCCTATAGAGGGCCGCTCTATTAGAGTTTTTACGATACTTTTTGACACCAAATAGCCAAAAAGTTAAACTTTTTGTTTTCCTGCTCTCGAATTCAACTATTTATTGATAAAGAAATCAGTTTAGCGAATGGATTTTATGAAATGAAATGACGTCATTAGAATTCCTTAAGTGCTAAATCTCTTGAGCTTTAAAATATGATTCTTACCGAATTTCTCGTATCTCAAACTTGTCAATCTTGTCGATTTCCTCATTCTCCCCAAAATGCACTTTTCCCCCTGTTTCCCTTTAGATATTTCTGTTGTCTCTTTTGCCATCGATTCGTCCATCCATTCCTTGTCTTTTCCTCAGTTTTCCCCTTTCCCCAACCACAATCGACCAAGAACAAAAATGAACATTTTTTGATGAAAAACGTTTCCAGTTTTCTATATAATTAAAGTATTATT